ATGTACGCATATTTCAAAACATAATGTTGTACATCATAAATATATACAATTTTTGTCAATTAATGGTAATAATGATAATAAAAGCATTTGACCATATATGTGAGGATTTATTTCTGAGCTCTCTATTCTATTCCATCTGTCTTTATTCTAGTACTATTTTTTTTTTTTTGGTAGTAACTTTTGAAATTAGGAAGTGTGAGCTCTCCAGCTCTGTTCTTGTTTTTTAAGATTTTTCGGCTATTCAGGGTCCCTCATGATTCCATGTGAATTTTAGGATGGATTTCTTTTATTTCCACAAAAAAATGTCAGTGGGCATTTAATAGGATTTTTTTGAATCTGTAGATCACATTGAGTAGTATTGACATCTTAACACTATTAAGTCTTTCAATCAATGATCGTGGGATATGTTTACATTTATTTATGTGTTCTTTCAGTAGTGTTTTAGAGTTTTTATTGTACATGTCTTTAAACTCTTTGTTTAATCCCTAAGTATTTTATTGCTTTTTAAAAATGGAATTGTTTTCATAACTTATTTTTCAGATTGTTTGTTCTTAGTGTATGGAAATGCAACTGATTTTTGCCTATTGACTTATATCCTGCTACTTTGCTGAGTTCATTTATCAGTCACAAAGGTTTTTTTTTTTAATCTTTAGGGTTTTCTACATGTAGTATCATATCATCTATGAACAGATATAGGTTTACTTTTTTCTTTCCAATTTGAATGCCTTTTGTTTCTTTTTCTTGCTTAATTGCTCTGACTAGAACTACAAGTACTGTGTTTAATAGTAGTAGCAAAAGCAGGCATTCTTGCCTAGCTCCAAATCTTAAAGGAAAAGTTTTCAGTCTCTCATTGAGAATAATGTTTGCTATGGGTTTTTCACATATGACTTTTATTATGTGGAGGTAGTTTCCTTCTATTCCTAGTTTATTGAATGCTCTTATCATAAAAGGGTGCTGAATTTTGCTTTTTCTGTACCAATTGAAGTGATCATGTGTACTTTCCCTTCATTCTGTTACTATGGTGTATTACACTGATGGATTTTCATATGTTGGACCATCCTTGCATTCCAGAAATAAATCTCACTTGGTCATGATATGTAGTCCTTTTTATATGCTGCTAAATTTGGTTTTCTAGTTTTTTTTGGTGAGAATTTTTGCATCACTTATCATAAGGGATATTGGTCTATAGTTTTCTTTTCTTGTAGTGTCTTCATTTGATCTCAGAATAATGCTGGCCTCATAGAATGAGTTAGGAAGCATTCTCTCCTTCTTATTTTTTTTGGAAAAATTTGAGAAGTATTGGTGTTAATTCTTCTTTAAATGTTTTTACAAACTCACTAGTGAAGTTGTTAGGTCCAGAATTTTCCTTTGTTGAAAGACTTTTGATTATTAATTCTACTTCTTTTGTAGTTATACATATATTCAGATTTTCCATATCTTCATGATTTTGTAGTTTCCTTTTGAAAGCTAGCTCTTGGTGTCATCCGTATTCTTAGGTGTCATATCTGTTCTAATGTGTTTATTAATGTACAAATTGTTATGCCTTATGTTGTATTATTGTATACTTTTAAAAATATCTGTTTCTATTCAAGCATATTATATATATATATATATATATGTGCATTACATTTGTAATTTAAAGTATTTTTTTCTTTTAATCAGGACATATGAATTTAATATTTTTTATCTTATAGTTATGAAATTTTGTATTTCTTAATATACCTCACTGTTATAAATATTCCTTATTTAGCTAAATATTGTCTAATAAGACAATAAATATAATAAACCAACAACATGGATTTCCCTCTTTTTAACCTTTATATTATCTTACCTTTTTCCCACTTCAGGAGACAGCGAGTGGATCCCAGACCGTAGCTTAAGTGCACATGCTGATAATGCAATTGCCTTGGGTGTTCTGCACAGTGCCCCAAATCCATCATCGAGTAGAATACAGCAAAAGATGTGTAAGATTGGCTATACGGCAGCAGTGCTATACTGCTGGCTCACTTTATTTAGTATTTTGTTTCTTAGCAGTTTAATAGGCAACTGAAAATTAGTTTTTGCAGTTACATAATTTAAACTTATTCATTTGAATTAAATGTCCTGGATGTTTCTTCCAAAATCAGAAATCCAAGTGTACTCATTATTCCTCTCAAAAAAACAAGAGTTACAGTCTCAGTTATTTTCTGTAACAATATATTAAGGAATAATATTTGTAAAATATACCTCAGGTTATGGTATATTTTGAACAATCATTATAAAATACATACTCAGTTTCTTTACACATGAAGGAAGCAGTGTGTTTGTACCAGATTTTGAATATTCTCCCTCTCCATTCATATTATAATCCCGCATAGCCGTATGTAAAATAAATGGCTTAGATTAAGATTGTTGCTTATAACTGGGATCGAGATAGCTTGGTTCTAAACCTAATGCTGAACGTATTAACTCTGGAATCTTGATTTCAGTTCATTACCTCCATTCTCTAACCAAAGTAATTGCAAGATTTTCCATAGGATATCTCTTTTGACATGTTAGATGTCCATTGTAATATTTTTCTTATATTACGATTAGTGTATGAAACCATTAATAACACTAGTATTATTAGTTCATTATAGTTACCCCATTATACCTGCTAATGTAGGTTTGCTTTATGCTGTATTTTAGTGAATTAAGGCAATTCAATATACATGTGTTGAGTATGTTGGCATTATGCTAGGCCCTGGGGATAAAAGAATGCATAAGTTATGTTCACTGATGTTAGGGAGCTCAGTTTGGGAGGAACACTTGACAAAGTGGGCTATTTGCCTTGGTTTAAAGACTACCTTCAAGCTTGAAATTTAATTGCATATAATTTGTCCATATGTATAAGATTTGTATGTCTCTCTTGCCCTAAACTGTGTGATTAAAACTTCTTAGCCAGCTTTAATCCTTTCCATATGCATTTATGTTGAGAATCTGTCAGATATAAAAAATTTTACTGGAAAACTCATTCATTGTGATAAATGTTTTTTGGCTCTATAATTAGGTACCTCTTCTCACATCAAAATGTAGAGCAACTTCAAAAGTTCTGGTTGTTTCCTTCTGAGGCAGTCGGAAGGAACTGTTTTAAGTCACTGTATATTGATGAAACAAATTCTTATGAGAAATTTGTTACTATGACAAATCCTTACAAATAAGTATCCAAATACTTTTAAGTGTTAATTTGGGCAGATAAGTAGGAGTTGATAATTTACAATGAAAAACAGTTGTTGGAGTAGCTACCGTGGGCCAGGTACTGCCAGAAACTGGTGTGATACAAACTAAAACCCTTTTCTCTACTACCCAAGGAATAGCGTCCATTGCAGAGGTTCTCAAATATAAGTGTGGACATAACAACTTGGGAAGACTGTTGTAATACAGATGTCTGGATCTCATTCTTAGAGAGTCTGATTCATTAAGGCTGAGGTGAAGCCCAGGAATATGCCTTTATTTTATCAATGACTCCATGTTATGCTGATATAGAGATCCCCAAAATCATATTTTGAGAAAACTGCTATATAGATATACAAAGACATAAATTATACCAAATATAATATAAATTTTACTAAAGTACTATGGGTAATGTACTTTTGGAGATCTGTAGGTAATTAATGATAATTTGTGCTATCAATTACAACAGAGGTAGAAACGTACAGTTTTTTTAAGAACGGAGATGGTAATATAATGATTTTTGCCACTGCAAAGTACAGATATGGAAGATGTTATAAACTAGGTAACAATTCAGTTGAGTCTTTAAAAAGTAATAACATTTACCAGCTAGGGGAGTTGAGAAATGGCTTTCTAGACATAGGTAGTGGCTTGAAATAAAATAAAATTTTTCTGGTCTATGCCACAAGTTATAGAAATCTTATATTTTGAAGTGATACCAGTATATAAAGGAATTTCTATTTCTATATGATTTTAAAATTTGTGAATGTATAAACACAATAGCCATGAAATATTTGTGTGTTTAGCGGCAAGTTCATTGATTCTCCCCATGACTTGCCAAAATTTACTCCTCTCCCACCCCAACTTCCTGTCTCTGTAAATGGCCACACCGTTCAAACATTGGTGAAGTCTGAAACCTAGGAGTCATCTTGGTTCTCACTCACCACATGTTATTTATCTCTAGATCCTGCTGATTTCAGCTTCAAAACTGAGCCCAAATCTAACCACTGTCATCTTCACTGCTCAGGATCAGCCATCATCTCTCATTTGTGCCCCAATTTCACTTTTACCCTTTCTAAAACCAAGTTGCTAGGATTAATTTCCATCAAATTCTACCATTTATAGTCAGTGAGTGAATTGTTTATATTTATAGTCATAAAATTATTTATATTTATGTTTTATAGAGAATGAATCATACTTTGTATAAATTTAAGCCATAAATTTGTATGATGTCATTCTGCTGCCTGAAAGCATTCCATAACTTTCTACAGAAGGTAGAAAAAATTATATTCCTTACCATGCCAGAGCTGACTACGCATCTCTCCTGACTGTATCTTCTCCCATATTGTGGCCACACTGGCTTTCTTTCTATTCTTGCCACACTCTTCCTCCCTTCTTAGCCTTGGAATTCACTCTTTCCTCTGATCCAGGATGCTCTAAAACCTCCCTCTCCATCCTCACACCCCCTTCATTGTATAATTGGTTCTTTCTCATTATTCGTTCTCAGCCCAGATGCTTCCTTCTTAGAAGGGCCTTCTGAGATCACTCTGTCTAATGTCTATTACATTTTACATTCTTTTATCTTTCTCATAGAATCTATCACCCTCTGACATTATCTTATGTGTTTGTTTATTTTCTGCTCTCACCCACCCTTGGTTGGAAAGAAAGCAAGGACCATTCTGTCCTGTTAGTGTATCTTCAGTAATGGAAAAGGGCCTTGGATGCTGTAAGTGCTCAGTAAGAGTTTGTGAATGAGTGAAGCAAGGTGGTAGGGCTGTGTGTTAGTTTGGAGTGCAACTTGAGGGTGGGGGGTAATGTCTCATTCATTTTTGTATACCCTGATTCTGACACAGCACCGGGCAGTTTTAGGAGTTAATAAACTATTTTATAGTTGAACTGGATTAAGTATTAATTCACAGGTTCTCAGAATTAGACAGGATTTAAGACAGTATACTAATTCCTTAATTTTACAGATGAGGTATGAATTGCCATATATTGGTCACAAGCTGATTTCTAACTCAGAGAAATGAGATGAGAAGATTCTTAGCCACCCAATTCACCCTTCTTTCCACTAACCATGCTGCCAAATAAAATTTCCATGTATGTCTCAAGAAATCCTGGAAAATACATTTCTCTATTTTATGTATAAATTCTCAGCAGTTTACACAGTGGAACAAGAATGTCAATAGACAATAATTCAAGATTAAATTATTCAGGAGTAAAATAGTGAGTCCTTTGATAAGAATGTTGTTATTTGTTATTAAAATGCTGTCCAAAAAGCATGTTGCTGTAATTGTTTTATCAAGTTATAATGTTATATTTAGAACAGAAACAATGATCATTGTATTAAATTCTGTTCAGGGAGTGACTCCTATTTTTCTTATCCTTATCCGCATTTTTGTGCCCATTAATATTCCCCAGAAGCACCATTTATAGTCCCAAAATTTGACATAGTTTCATCAGTAATCATAGAACATATATATTGTTTAGCTAACACCAAGGAGAATTTATTTTGTTATAGTTAAACTGTGATCAGTGTTAATCAGTAATTTCCTAAGATGACACTGCCATCGATAGCACAAATTACTCCCAGAATAATTTCTTATGTTTATAAACTACAAACTGGGCTGTGTTTTAAGTTATGGAATGATCCCTTCAATCATGGCATTTTTTTATTAGTGTTACTCTTAATGTGTCAAATCTTAACTTTAGTAAGAACATTAATAAGCTTATATATTAACCATTAGAGAGAATGATATACTGACCTAAATTAGCACTAAATAAATAAAATCAAGGGCAAAATTGGGGTCTGTTCTGTGTTTTTCTATGTTTGTGTTACTTTAAACTACACTTTGAGCATATATCCAATAGGAAAGATGGTCTGTCTCTTTGCTGCGTGCTAAGCATAAGTCTGACCCATCCCCTGTGTACATTCTCACTTGGGATCAATTAACTTCAAATACTGTGGCAACCATATGTTGTTATGAGTTCAGCACGTGTGTGTACTCTCCTGAATTTTCTGAAGGATATCTACATTATGTTAAATTTTTCTCACCTCATATTTGTCTGTGTTGGCAGAAATCCAGTCCTTATTAATAACATCTTCTTTAGTTTCATTTTCATAAGAGTTCTAAACTTTTTAAAATTTACTTTGACTGAAACACATAAGTTACAAGAGTATGGTTTTCTTCATAGATCTAGAACTTTTGATTTATATAGTAAATTACAGTAATACTCACTGACTACTACTGCTATTCTTACTATTGCTTTATTACACAGGAATGGCAAGTTTGCTTTTCTTGATGGCTATGAATGAAATATCGATTCTTTACATATTATAGAAAAAAAGAGAAATTACTTTCAAATTCTAGTCATCAAAATAATTCTTAGGGATATTTATACATATATTCTTAACACATAGACACATTTTAGTTATTCTTCAGAATTGCCTCTGAGCACAAATAGACACAAAAGGTCAGAATCTTGTTATAATTTATTCATAATTTTATTCTTACAAAATTTGTTTTGAAAATTGACTTCTGGGCCGGCCCGGTGGCGCACTGCTGCAGTGCGCCGCTTAGGAGCGTGGTGGCGCTCCCGCTGAGGGTTCGGATCCCACATACAGACCGGTTCCTGCTCACTGGCTGAGCGAGGTGCGGGGCGACACTGAGGGTTGCGATCTGTTGCCGGACATGAAAAAAGACAAAAAGGAAAAAAAAAAAAAAAAAAAAATTGCA